GTTCATTCAATCTGGCGTCTGTTGAAAACCGGAGGGTTGTCGCCACAATAGAGTACAAGACCATGCGATCATCTTCTTCAAGCGGGGATGGACCAAAGAAGGTGTCCAGCGTTGATCGTCGATGGAGAATGGGGCACCAGGAATTAATATGGTCAAAGTAAAGATCCACCAATGCGTAGAGCAGATCATATGGAGGGAGATCAAGATCAGGATCCGCGAGAGACTGTTCTTGATTGGCGAAAAGACTGACCGGGACTTCCAAAGATGATTCGTTCCCAGTGTAGTCGTTGCTATGCGCATTGGGTGCTGGTGGTAATGCATTCATCGCCGACGCTGACCCACCATTATGTATACTGTTGGACACCAGGTTCTTAACCGATGAATCCGAAGGTGTCGTGATGGATACCTCGGCATGGCGAGATGGTAGCGCTACCGACGAATTAGGATCGTTGAAATAGAGGGCGCCTCGAGGGCTTGGGCCGTGCACTGCTGAGGGCTCTGATGGAGAGCTGTATGCAATAGATCCAGCATGCGGCATATCATGACGCATAGTGGTTTGATTCTGCAGAATATGCATCTCGATAAGGCGAGCTTGAGACTGAATGATATCTTCCAGTCGATCTAGCGACAGGCGTGGTTAGACCTCGGCAGAATGGAGAGATGGCTGGGTACTTACCAAGACGCTGCTCCAATTCCTTGCCATAGCCAGCTCTCAGGCCTGGCTTCTTGCGCTCTTTGTACTGGCAGAGATGACCATTGCGAGTGCACCAGCCACAACTCGGCTGTACTCGATCTGTTTGATTCAATAGGCCAGTCAGATTCCGTTGCGCGTCGCAGACCGACATTGACGTTGTTTGGCACCACTTACCGCATTTGACTTTTCTTTGCTTGCAGAGTTCACACCTTGAGGGAGTTAGCTCATATGGTCAAATAATCAGCATTCGTCGGGGTGTTCGCAAGTGCGGCACCGTCGACTCGGACACGTACGAGACGGTGAGGGGACGCTTCCGTTTCAGCGCTCGCGAGCCACTGGAGCCATTGAGGGTGAGAGCATCGTTATCGGAGTCGATACCAGAAGAGTACTCAGCGGGGCTCTGATCTCTCTCGGGATCCCCGAGGTTCAAGTTGTGACCGGGGGGGCAGAGAGTGGGCGGAAGCATCGTTCGGCATTTTGCTATAGCGAGATAGGCCGGACCTGCAGACGAAGCTAGCGGGGGTCACACCATGACGCGGGTCTAGCTTGAATCGCGGTAAGATGAGCGGGTTGATACCGAGAGAATCGCAGATAGTCCGAGAAGATCCAGGCAAGTCAGGGCCGAGGAAGCAGAAAGAGGAGGAGAGAAGTTTGGGGGGAAAGTCACTGGACTGCGGCCTGAGGCAGAAACCGGGGCACCCCGCAATCTCCACGTGAAAACAGGCACGCGCAGCAAGAATACACTCACGCTGTGATAATAGTAGATTTTCGTACTATAATAAAGTTTGAATTACTGGCTGTCACCACTGGCATATTTGACTCAATATTTACGTATTTCAATGAAGGTGTAGTAGTGGTAAAACTTGAAATTGAACATACACTACATAGGTATCTATATATCCAGGGCTCTTGATTTGCAGCCCAAGTTATTTCGTGATTTAAGTCAAAATAGTACTAGTATTTCCAACCGGGCTGATGCTAATAATATTTCGCTGCTACTCATCGGAGAATACTACCACCAGCCATTTATACCATACAGAATACTGCTATGGCCTTGCGGTCTGCTGTGGCTGTCCTGGACTTGGCGTTCGCCCCTCGGGTCAGCAAGCACCGAAGCCCTCGGTCCCCTCACAACTTTGCCCGCTTGAAAAAGTGTTGCTCCCCCACGTTTTCTCGGAGTTTCTCCTTTTTCTTTTTCATCTCTGTTTCTCTATTTTAATTGGAAATTCTGCATTGAACTCTCTTTCTCGTGCCTTTTCCCATTCTTCCACACGCCATCATGGGTTGTACCGAGTTTCCCCGCATCAAGGAGATCCGCACCTTCATCATCGATGGTGTCGGCTCCGGCGGTGATTACCACAATGTAAGGAATACCCAGGAGAAAAGAGCATTGGCGAAGAATGAAAGAAACCATCTGAGCAAACACTAACTTCCTCATCAGGTCAAAGGTGGCCACTGGCTCATCGACAGCAACATCTCCACTCCTATGACCAAGTGGGCGGAGTACCGCGGCTCGCGCACTTCCTGGGGAATCAATGTCTTGGGCTCTTTCTGCGTTGAGATCGAGGCCACAGATGGCACTAAGGGTTTCGCCACCGGTTTCGGTGGCCCCCCTGCTTGCTGGCTTACTCACCAGCACTTTGAGCGCTTCCTTATCGGCGCAGGTATGAGATTTTCTCGACGCTTTCGTGTGCATTGACCTTGCTAACATGCTGGATTAATTTTGATTAGACCCCCCGTGACACAAACAACCTTTTCGAGAAGATGTACAAGGCCTCCATGTTCTATGGCCGCAAGGGTCTGCCTGTGGCCGTGATCTCAGTCATTGACCTGGCCCTGTGGGATCTGCAGGGAAAGATCCGCAATGAGCCCGTCTATAAGCTCATTGGTGGTGCGACTCGCGAGCGTCTTGATTTCTACTGCACCGGACCCCAGCCTGCGTCTGCCAAGTCTGCTGGCTTTATTGGTGCCAAGGTGGCTCTTCCCCACGGTCCCGATGAGGGCACCGATGGTCTGCTCAAGAACGTTGAGTATCTTCGTCTGCAGCGGGCTAGCGTTGGCCCCGATTTCCCTCTGCGTGTTGACTGCTATATGTCTCTCACCGTCCCCTATACTATTGAGCTGGTCAAGCGCACTGAGCAGTTGGGTCTGAACATTGACTGGTGGGAAGAGTGCCTGACTCCCGATGACTTCGATGGTCACGCTCTGCTGAAGCGTGCTCACCCTACTGTTAAGTTCACCACTGGCGAGCACGAGTTCTCTCGCTATGGTTTCCGCAAGCTGGTTGAAGGCCGTAACCTGGATATCATCCAGCCTGATGTTATGTGGCTTGGTGGCTTGACTGAGCTTCTGAAGGTCTCTGCTCTCGCCGCTGCCTACGATATTCCCGTCGTTCCCCATGCCTCCGGACCCTACTCCTACCACTTCGTCGTCTCCCAGTCCAACAGCCCCTTCCAAGAATACCTGGCCAACTCTCCTGATGGCAAGTCCGTCCTGCCCGTCTTCGGTAACCTCTTCACCAATGAGCCCATCCCTGTCAACGGATACCTTGATGTTTCGATTCTGGATAAGCCTGGATTTGGCCTTGAGCTTAACCCTGCGGCTCCTCTCATCTCAGGAGCCTCCCTGCTGAACCCCGCGCCTCAGAAGGCTCTGCGGGCTCCGGATAACGAGCAGGCGACAAACGGCGCTTCCGCTTAAGTGCGGCCATCTTGACGACATTTTGCCACTTTCAAATAATTCCCATGTTTATCTGCCTTTGATGAATCGTTCTATCACGATGTCCATGTACATAAATAGCATTACCCATTCAATCCAATAGACCGAAACGTTCCGGATACAAAACAACAACCACCTAGTAGGGTAATGTTTCCTTTCCAAGCAGGGGCTTGTTCAAGCCCTTAGCAGTAAAAATACTACCTTCCACGGCTGAAACCCTGCGACGGTGTCATTCAATTCCACAAATCACAGGGAATTCTCCTCTGGGCACGCGCCTCGGAGTTGCCGGCCACACGGAAGACCGCTGCCCCTCGGTGTGGGGAAGCAACCCCACACTCGGGCGAACATCATCGCGAGGCCCCGAGATCTTATCGGCGGGGCGAGAAAATGCGTCGCGAGGGTGGGATGTTCCAGCTGTCAGGTTCTCGACACGTTTAACAACTTTCTCGCTTTAAAGATTAAGCGCATCGAACATTGGTATTGGTATCCGGGAACCCTTTTGCGAATTCAAATTGACTATCTACAAAACTGCCATGTCCCTTCCCCAATTACTTGTTGGCAAGGTCGCTGCCATCACTGGCGGTTTAACCGGCATTGGACGGGTAAGTGTGCCTATTATTCTGCAGCTGTAAGATCCTGGCCCTGGAAATTGTATTAATCATCTAACTCCAGGCAATTGCGCTGGATTACATTCGACATGGAGCCAACGTTGCGATCAGTCACCTCGGCGGACCCAAGGAAGACGACTTGCTAGAATCTCTGCGCAAAGAGATCGACGAGATCGAAGCCGGCGCAGATAAGACTCGTTTCATCACAGTATCAGGCGATATTTCACAGCCAGAGACAGGGCGCAATTTTGTCGCGAAAACCGTCGAGGCCTTTGGCCGACTAGACGTGTTCGTCAGCAACGCAGGCGTATGCCAGTTTGCCGATTTCCTTGAGTAAGGGCCCTCGTAATCTTCCAGATCAAAGCCTAGTTTCAATTTGCTGATATTTTTGAACAGGCTTGAGCCCTCCCTTCTCAACCACACCGTCTCAACCAACCTTTCCGGTGCCTTCTTCGCTACACAGGCCGCCGCCCGTCAAATGGCACAGGCTCAGTCCCCGCCCGGGGGCTCCATTATCGGCATCAGTTCCATTTCAGCGCTTGTTGGCGGCGGCGAGCAAACTCATTATACCCCGACCAAGGCCGGTGTGCTCAGTTTGATGCAGTCAACCGCAGTTGCACTTGGAAAATATGGCATTCGCTGTAACGCGTTGCTCCCGGGTACCATCCGCACTCAGCTTAATGATGCCGATATGGCGGATCCAGTGAAGCGCACTTATATGGAGGGACGTATCCCATTGGGTCGACTTGGCCAACCGCGTGATCTGGCAGGTCCAGCGGTGTTCCTGGCTTGTGAGGAGCTGAGTAGCTATGTGGTGAGTTTTCCCCCGTAATTCCTCTGTGAGATGCATCTGCTAATCGATTCCGCGTGTAGACTGGTGCGCAGCTCCTCGTTGACGGTGGACTATTTGTTAATCTGCAGTGAAAATGGCATTGTATCATTTATTCACTTTGTGATTAAAAAAATAAGAACCTTCCATATTATAGCTGAATACCATAAGCCTTGATTGCTACTTGTCCCCAAATTCCCTCCTTTGCTTCTTCCGTCAGCCCTCTTCGGTCTAGAATGGTTTCAACAACCCTGATCCACCGGCCCCAAGCGACATTATTTCCGCCACCCCCGATGTTAGCCACGGGCCAGTCAGAGCCAAACATCACACGGTCGGGGCCAAACGCGTCGAATACGACATCTGTCCAAGGTTGAATTTGGCTCGCCAGACCATCGATATCGACCTCATCCTCCTCCGACAGTGGTAAAATCTCAGAGAACGCGCCAGAAAGCTTCATATAATTCGCGGGACTCGCTTGAGCCATGCGGGTAACCAAGCCCTTCCATTCCAGATACTCAGGGTGTGCAGTAAGAGAGTCGGTTGCAAGCCGAAGATTAGGCTTGCAAAGGTGGTCTACCAAAATATAAGCATTAACCACTCGACCGCGGAAATTGGATAAACTCACTGATCACAATAGTTACTGCCGTCTCACCACTTTCCCTCGCGGCACTGAACACCCTCTCCATCATCTGAACTGCCTCTCGCAATTGACCGAGTCCACCTTGTCTCGCATCAACCCCTAGGTCAAAAGCAAGCCCCTGTTTTCCCAACCAGCACAGTCCATCAACAAATCTTTGTTCAAGCATCACCCCGGAAGGCTTATCCTGAACCAAATATCTCACTCCGCACACCTTGCGCCAGACATCCGCGGTCTCCGTCCTCTCCTTGACCTTTTCCATGTACGCGCTCAAGGCACTAGGTCCGCCGGGTACGGGAGCCCAGGAACAATTCCAAGACAAATATCTTTATCTGCGGCTAAGTGTCCTTCGCCCTTGACGGGCTTTCCCTGCGCGACGCGCGATAGGAAAGAGACTTCGTCGAGAGCGTGTTTCCAGCCTGGAGCATTAGAAGATTCCGATGTTGATTCTTCAGTCGAGGAAATGCGATCTGTTTCCAGGAATATGAATCCCCTTAAATACTTCTCATTGCTGGCATTCGGTGCGGCGGGGACGCTGGTTGTCGCGTGTTGGTATTGGTCCACACTGTGCTGCGCGCTTAAGGGGCCATCTAGGGTGTACCAGGCTAGTGTCGGGAGATGGGATGCTGGGAATAGGTGTATATGCGAGTCGACTATTGGGAAAGGCATTTTGGGGGTCTTCTGGGGGATTTTCTGCATGTTGTTTTGAGGTAGTGCTGTGTTTGCGGGGAGATGCGGGGTCAATATCGCGTCCCTGGGAGCGTATGATCGATCGGCGATGTAGATGATTCAGGTTAACCAAGAAATTAAATGTAGCTTTGGTTTTAGGTAAATTTAGATATCAAATTAATGTCAAACCTTTGAGGGTGCATGTGTGGGTGGATAAATTCGGTCGGGTATTTGGGTGTCTGTCTGGTCGGTGGTCATTCTCCCGAACCAAGCGGGTTGGCGTGGGCAAATTAGCCGGAATCACCGAGCCTGTTTCTTCACGTTCCCATTGGAAATTTTTCGATCTCTTCATGTATAATGCAGATCATTTGTTTATTTATATCAAGTCGCCGCGCTATTAACTGGTCTACATGATGCGTTGGTGTGTATTGCTTGAACTTCGCATGATCGACCGACAATTGCAAAAGATTACCGTTCACTAAAGTTCTACCGCCATCCTGATAGTGCTGTAAGAGCCGCAGTTTATTGAAGTCCCGATTGGCGAAGACAAGTTAAAGATTAGTGAGTTCGCGAGGATATTTTGGGTATAATTTGGTGTGGTTGTGATGGCTCCTATATACCTTCATGGATAATACTAGTATCTATCTCCATATTATCGTTATATACTACTAGTAGTACCTCCGTGACTGTCAGCGACTCTGAAAGAGCTCTCTGGGAACTAAAGCGCGCGGGCGGAGTATAATGTACTTCTCTTTTTTTTCTCTCTCCTATTCTTACTTTCTCTTGCCCAGGTGGAATTCATATTTTATATAAATCTTCTGCTTAAGTCTAAAACCTGCAGATTACCATAGCACAGAGGCCTGAGGGACCGAGGCATACTATTAATGAACTACACGTCATTGATTTGAAGAATGTCCGAGAAAACACAAATCGTAAATTGCATGCTAAATAATCAATGATACATCTTGTTTACTTCAAATCCCTATACTCATAGCGCACGGGCATTCCATAGTGCCCCGTCTTTAAATCGTAACCAAAGTCCGCGATGTCCTCTATACAGGCAGAACAACCTTAACACCCATGTATTCTCTCTGGTGCATAATCTTACCATCAATCATAACTTGATGAACACCAATACGGTTGTGCACTTGGTCGGTAGGATCCGTCGCAGTAGCAATTTGAATTTCGCGCCATTGCTTGTTTGTGGGCACGAGCTTCCCTTCGGATGTGAGCCTCTTGAATTCCTTGTAGACACCTTGCTCTTCGACGCATCCTTCACGCTGAATCAGGGGAGAATCTAGAAAAAAAGAAAAAAGAATATGGTCAGCATCAAGCTATTTGAAACAACGAGATAAAGTTCTTTTGACACTTACCAGTGGCGGGTCCCATGCGAAGGTCACCGAGAGAGCTGTTGAAAAGGACTAGCGAAAGACGCTCCTGGGTAAGTTGGTCGGCAGGTGGCTTGTAAACACGGTGGCGAGTAGCCTTGAAGTGTCCACCAGACACGATCTCCAGAGTATCTCCGATGTTGATCACCAGGGCACCGGGCTTGTAGGGAACATAGTACCACTGTTCATCACGGCCCCAGATCTGAAGACAGGAAATAGGGACGGAGAAGAGTTGTGTAGTCAGACCGAAGTCAGTGTGGCCGTGCATACGCAGTCCCTTGGACGCTTCTTGTGTCTCCTTCTTGACTGGACGGAAAAGCGCGTGGCGGAAATAGCCCTCGCCAGTCGGACATCCGTGAGATTGAACGTTGTCCCAGAGGTAGTCATCGGGCAACTCAAGGACACGCGAGAACAAGGTAAGAAGTCTTCGGTTGACGGACTTGGTCAGGTAGTTGGCAAAAGCCTCAACTTCGTCCATCAGGGGATGGAGGCAGGTCGGAACGCGGTTCTCGATGTCTTCCCAGTCGCGCTTATACCAGTTGAATTGTTCGATTCCATCGGCGGGTCCACGTTGACGCTACCAGTAACATGCTCGTTAGAACTCTCTTGTGTCTATTTACTAGGGTATTTGGATGGTTCTCTTACCTTGAATCCGTAAGGGTGTTTGTAGCCAGACCACATGCCACTTTCGGGGTCAAATAGAAGACGTTGCTTATCCTCCTCGGTTATGTTGTCGTACATATACTGTGCGATACCAAATTGGCGATGCAGCTATTGGAGAGAATCGCTATTAGTGACTGAATGTTGGGAAACATTGCGGATATTTTGTGGTTATTTACCTGCTCTAGGGAAACACCATAGTTCTCCAGGAAAAGAAAACCGTCATCTCGGATGGCAGTCTTCACTTGTTGAATGAGAGCACCGACGACAGCCGGATCCTCCGAGTCCAGCAGGGATAGATCGATCGACTGGAGAGTAGCGAAATTCTCCTTCTCTCGTGTGACTGGGGGAGGAACCCATTGTGCCACAGTGGGCTTGCCAGGAAGGTTGGCTGATGGGGGGTTGAAAGGGGCTGCGGGTGCCATTATTGAATCTTGAATGTTGAGAATGGGAAAATTGATGTTGCAATTAGAGCTAATCCTAGCCTTCCGGTTGAATAGCGTCTTATATCCTAAATGAGTCGGGTGATGATATGACCCGGAACTAATTTACCCAATCGTGCCGCGATGCAAGTCTTCGAGCCCCAAGCCGCCTGTGAGCTCCTTGTTTGGACCAGAGGAGCACAAGACACAATCGGCATTGGTTTCTCTCCACATTCCAGTTCCATGGCTCTAGGAGGGCCCTAGTGAAACTACTGTCCACAATCTTATCTGCTCCTCCGCATAGAGTTGTGGGATTTCCCAGCTGACCTCCTTTCTCTATGGCGAGCTCCTCCCGATTAGATCAATGCAGACAATCAGGCGGAGATAAAGCAAAAATAAGATTCTTTGGTCGATGCTAGCCGACATAGGAAATCGATCTGCGACGTGCGGCGAGTGGGGCATGAGATGGGAGGAGTGGGAGGAGTGGGAGGAGCTCCTCCCACTCCTCCCACTCCTTCCAATAAGGCTCAAGCCACATCCGGGGTGTCTCAGATATAACAACGATACTTCAGTTTTAGTATTCTAGGCCGAATCGGACATTCGCCGATTACGAGCTCCTCCTTCACGGATTTTGGAGAATTGCCCCTCCTTTGGAGCAGTCCGCAATCTGCTATCGTCAGGTGGGGGAGGGGTAGAATAGCTATACAATTTAAACCGAGATCACGAACTTTTTCCTTTTACCCAATTCAAACTTCTGTTTCGAAAAGATTTACCTCCAATTCTTCCCCAATCTCTCAACCACATACCAAAATGTCTCGCCAGCTCATCTCCAGCGAAAAGTTCCCTACCAAGCCGCACAACTGTGAGTTAGATGCACACGCTACTTGCACTGAATGATTAGAGACACATCTAATCAAATCCAACTCTCTAGGCCCCGCGACCAAGGTCCCCGGTCTCGTTTTCTGTGCCGGTCAAACAGCCACCGGTGAAATCAAGCAGGCAACTGTAAGTTCGATCCGAAGATCAGCTACCTCACCACTGCGTGCACTATATCTAACAATTTTGTCTCTGTTCTAGCGCACCGTCCTGCAGAACCTCAAGGAGGTCCTCGAGCTTTCTGGCTCCTCCCTCGAGCAAGTCGTCAAGTACAATGTCTACCTCGCCGATATGAAGGACTTCGCAGCCATGAACGAAGTTTACATCGATTTCCTCCCTCAGCCAATGCCTTCTCGCTCCTGCCTCCAGGCCGTTCCCCCTGGTAACGGAACCGTCATCGAGATTGAGTGCATTGCTCAGGCATAAGAATCGAGATTAGATGTTACGATTGATAGACAATAATGAAACAAATCAAAAATTATATGATAATTCTTATACAATATCTACCACTAGTAGTTGAATTGCGCAATAGAAATAAGTCATTTGGCATATCAAAATATATGCCAGTAGTAATAGGTCTCACTCGACTGCACCGGCTAACTTTGAGCTTATCCACTAAGACTGCCCGAGTGTCTTTCAAGATACTCTTTTCATTCACAGATGGTACCTAGTTACATCTCTCGCTGGGTATAATACAGTCCGTCTCGAAACTGGTGACACCAGTCTGGTGTCACCACTTATGATCAAGAAAGTAATAGAGCCAATTGTCATTTAATCCAAGTCACATATGCAAACTGACAAGTTTTTGCCTTGAGATCGAGAGTGGCTGACTGATATTGAATCACGTGATTTTAGGCATTCGAAGTCGACCTGTTCATTCCTTCGGTTCTACCTTCTCGCTTGCAGCGCAAAATCACCATCTAATTGTCACTGCCGAGGCGAAAGAATGCGCCGCTTCGAACGGATTTACGATGTCGTTGAACCTGTTGAAGAGTACCGTGCTGGAGGCTATCACCCAGTCCACCTCGAGGACACTTTTCACCACAGGTACCATGTCGTCGGAAAATGGGGCTTTGGCCAGTCTTCTACAGTTTGGCTTGCCAAAGACACAAGGTACAGTTTATCTCATTTCCCCTTATTTAATTCATATCCATTGTATTGTCAAACTTACGCCATTCTCTGCCAGGCTTCAAAGATATGTAACGTTAAAGATTCTCAAAGCCAACGTTTCAAGTGATAGTCAAGAGCTCTCTATTCTCCTCCATCTGTCAAAAGCGAGTACGGATTGTCCAGGTCGAAATATTGTTTTGCAATTGTTGGACCATTTTGAGCATAGGAGTCCCAACGGCTTGCACCTTTGTCTCGTTTTCCCAGTTATGATGTCCGATGGCGAAGCAATGACTGTTCGAGAAAGGCCACGCTACTCAGATTATGTTCGCAATATTTCAAAACAATTACTACAGGGGTTGAATTTTATCCATGATCAGGGTTTGATCCACGGAGGTATGTATCTCTGGCGACGAAGAGCTTCCCTAATACTGATGCCTGATAGACCTCCAACCAGCTAATATATTGTTCACTTTGAATTCTAACTTATCAAGCGAAATATTGACCGAGCCTGAACTCAGCTATATCCAATGGCTCCCGGGAATCGAATCTGATAATAGTGCACCACGGTATCTGGTAACCTCGCAACGTCCCCGTGGAATGTTAGACGATGTAGCGTTCTCAGCGCTTACAGTCAAGATTGGTGATATGGGTGGAGGTCCGGCCCCCAATATCATTTACCAGACTATAAATTATTGACTGTTACAATAGCTTTATGGAACATACAATATAATGCTTCCCCTGTAACACCGGTCGCTTTAAGAGCACCTGAGTTACTATTCCAGCACTCTTGGAATCAGAAGATAGATATATGGGCTCTGGGTTGTCTGGTAAGTTTGTTATCTTGCTTTTTATCATTTTTCTAAGCTTGAGTACAGATATTTCAACTTACTACAAACGAAGCCCTCTTCCCGATAGAGTGTTTTGGTTGTAGTAAGGACGAAGTTGATAGAACTCTGCGATCTCTCATTGATAACCTTTTTGAGGGTGGCATTTTGCAATTCACTTCGCGTATTCGTGAGAAGGTTCCGACCGATTTTGGCCAAGAGGAATCGGAGAACCTTGCCGATTTTCTTTGGGCAATGTTACAGGAATATGCGGAAGATAGAAAAGCAACTGCTGAACTTCTCAGCCACCCATTTATCGTTGGATTAAGTGGTGCAGCGAATGGAGAATCTAGTCGATATATGACACACTCAGTACGATAATCCAGTTTTAGGTCACGCTGTGCCTAAATCAAGAACCGAATCGCCTGCTTGCAGCCTTGAACAGATAAAATGGGACGTGGAATACGTCAATCAGCTATGGCGCTATTAGCTTTCTCTACTTCCCCAATGTTCAATGTTCAATGAGAAATTATCTAAGGCAAAGATGCGAGAACAAACAGAAAATGTCTTAGTACCAGAACTTGTGCGGATCATGTCTGGTGATACTTACAGAAATTCGAACTTTGCAGTCTCGTCATTGGGAATGATGCTCTAATAGTCGCGCTATCGCTATCTCGAACTACGTAAAATCCGCCAACGAGACAATCGTGACCATGGCCCAAAAAGAGATGTGCCATTGGAAGCGAAGAACATGTTTCATTATATCTATAAGTTTTCTTTCACATAATGCCGTTGCAGCTCTATCCACCCTTATGACCGAGCAATTTCGAACTCAGCCATATACCAGTTCTGAATGGCCTTGGTGTCACCAGTAATAGCGACTGTGTCGTAGCGTTCCCGCGCCTCCTTTGCAGTAGTTCCATTGTTCACCATGCGAGCAGCCCACTTGCCATGCTTGCGGGCAGCGTTGATAATCTTGTCAACGGCAGTAACGAACTCGGGCTCATCACCACGGGCGGGAGTGTATCCAAGAAGCGACTGAGCCAGGTCGTTAGGACCGATGAAGATCATATCAACACCATCCACAGCAGCAATTTCCTCGACATTCTCAACACCAGCGCGCGTCTCTATTTGGATCATGGTCACGATTGTCTCGTTGGCGGACTTCATGTACTCGGGGGTGGTGAGGCCGTGTCCAATGGCTGGGAAAGCGGATCCTTGACCGCGAACTCCCTGAGGGGGGAATTTGGATGATGCGACCACCTGTCGTGCCTCATCTGCGTTATTTATTTGTGGGACCATAATGCCGTGGGCGCCAGTGTCGAGCGCACGCTTAAGAATGTCGTGGGCGGGACCGCGGATTCGGATGACGGGGGAGACACCGAGGGCTGAAATAGCTGCGACGGAGTTGTGCATCGCTTCGTCTCCGATGTGGCCGTGCTCGCAGTCGATGATGATACCGTCAACGCCGGTCAATGACACGATCTGGGCCGCGCGAACAGAGGGAAGAGCCATGAAGGTCATCAAGGGGAACTCGTTCGACCTGAGCTTGTTCAGAACCCTCAGGCGAGAGTTCTGAACCTGGGTGGTGTGTGCAGTAGGGTAGCTCATCTTTGCGATTTGAGATTGAATTTTTGTTGGTCTTCTCGGTGATTGAGATTAAGAGAGTAGGTAGAATGGGGATGATTGAAGAGAAGATAGTACGAGAATGCGCGTGAATAAGTATGCTTTAGTATCGATGAGCAATTATTCCTTTCGAACACGTATTACCTCGGTAGTCCAAATAATTCGGAAATTCTTGAGAGCTCTCCATCTTCGCGGGGCTCAACTGCCCCTCCATCTTTTGGAGAATTGGAGTTCATAGATGCACTATCTCGTCCTAGTTGGGTAAGTAGGGCAGATCGCCACTTCAGGCGAGTCTCCACTCCGCTTATCTGCGGGAGGAGCTCCCCCCAAACTCAACATTTGACAACCTCCGCCCAGACACTACTCAGAGTCTCAGACCCGCTAACCATGCACTACACTCCTCCCGGTCCACCCCAGCTGTACCCCAGATCTGCAGTATGACACGGACCATCTGGGGATCAGCTGCAATTGGGCTGTGATATCAGTTTGGGCGCTCCTCCCTGTCCTTATCAACTGCTGTCTCGACCGGCTATCAGACTGTGAATCAATGAGTCACGGTCAATTGCAAAGAACTTGCGATCATTAGTCGGCTACTCCTTGCTAAGACTTCTAGCGGATTCTTCCCCGAGATTAGAGTCTAGATAACGGTTGTCTGCCGCGTGTTGGTTATATAGATCAGCATCGACGGGAGGAGCTGTTAAGAGAGTCATTGCCTGCTCACCGGGAATACTACTGAGCTCTTTTACAACAATCACCCCATCCATCAGTTTGATTACATCTAAGACCTCTTCAAGATGTCAGTCAGCATGGATACCAAGAAACGACCCATGTCGTCTGCGACTGACGACAATCTCTCGACCACTGAAGGGCAGGTCGACATCACCGATGCTGCTTACCGTCGGATGCCAGATTCCCTTCGCGGTCTTGGTGATGATGAAATGAAGGCCTTGAACAAGAAGCTTGTCCGCAAGGTCGATTTCTTCGTTCTACCAACCATCGGCATTCTCTATATCCTCAACTATATCGATCGTCAGAACCTGGCCGCTGCCAAGCTGCAGGGAATCATGGACGATCTCAACATGGACACCCAACAATTCGCCACCGCAGTCTCGATTCTTTTCGTCGGTTACCTCCCTTTCCAAATTCCAAGCAATCTTATCATCACGAAAATCTCTCGACCGGGAATGTACATTTGTGCTGCTGTCGCTATCTGGGGCTGTATATCGGCCGCAACAGCAGCAGTGAAGTCGTATGGTCAACTCCTTGCTGTGCGTGCCGTTCTCGGTGCTGCAGAGGCGGTCTTCTTCCCCGGTGCGATCTATTATCTCTCGGCTTGGTACACAAAGACGGAACTCGGCAAGCGTATTGCTGGCCTATATATCGCTCAACAAGTTGGAAACGCTTTCGGTGGCCTCTTCGCCGCGGCTATTCTCCAGCTAGATGGTGCACATGGCATCGCTGGCTGGCAGTGGCTTTTTATCATTGAGGGCAGTGCCACGGTCGGGGTTGGTGTCATTTGTGCCTGCATCATGCCCGAGTTCCCTCATAACAGCCGTATCCTTTCCCAGCTGGAACGCGACCTCGCTGTCTGGCGTATCGAGTCCGAGTCCGGTGCCGCAGAGGCTTCGGAGAATGAATCTGTTCTGCGCGGTTTTGCTAAGGCCCTGTCTGATCCTAAACTACTGTTGCTCATCTTCTGCAACATGTTGTCCCAGACACAGGGGTCTATCGCCAACTATTTCCCTACCCTTGTTGGTTCCTTGAACTTCAACAGCACGATCAGTCTCTTGCTTACGGCCCCTCCCTATATTCTCGCTGGTATTGTCTATTACTGGGTCATGTATTACTCCGATCGGAAGAACACGGTCTATCCCTTGATCCTTATTTGTATCGCCATCGCAATCGTCATGTACGTGATCCAGTTGGCGACCCTCAACACCGGTGCCCGATACTTCTCGATGATGATTTTACCCTTTGCCTCCGTCGGTCCTCAACTGCTTCTCTACAAGACCATCAACTTGCACCTGGCCCGACCGGTCTCTAAGCGTGCTGCTGCCTCGGCTTTGGTCAATGCGATTGGTGGTACCTCCAACATCTGGGCTTCCTATCTATATTACTCCTCTCCGCACTTCTACGCCGCCTTTGGCACTCTTATGGGTGCTGCATTTTTGTTCGGCATCACTATTACCGCTTACCGCTGGCTGGTACTGCGTGAAAACAAGCGCCTTGAATCTGGAGAGGACGAACTCATTGCGAAGGCTATGAAGGGCGGTGTCACGGAAGAAATGGTCCAACTCAACTGGCGGTACGAAATGTACTAGTACTGATTTTATAAGCATGTTACGAAGTTCCTGTCTTATTTACTGTATTTATCAAAGCTTTTCAAATATTTCTTAACGGAAACTTGATTTGATACATAATATTTCAGTAGAAAGCAAAGCCTCCTCCATATCGTAGGCTCATTTTCCTAGTGCGTCGACACATTCCAGAATAAGTTTGCCCAACTGCCACCTCTGTCTGCGTAGAAAGACCTTTCGCGCCCATTCAAGGGCTCCATTCTCATCGCCATCAGCGACACCCACGACTTCCATCGCACCTGGAATTCCCCCTCGTACCAGTTGCCATGCTATTAAGAAGGCTTTGTACGCGTATAGGGCGATCCAAGGTGCCTCTGATCCCGGCACAACCACCGCCTCAAGATATCGCAAAAACCAGTCAACGTGAGGCTGAACCGACTTCGCAGTTTCAGGCTCGCAAAGGAACTCTGCCGAGGGGGCCAAGAATGTCGACTGGCTCAGAACGGCATCGATGCTTCCTTCCACAATGCCGCCCGTATGTGAGGGCGACCAAAGCTGTATCTCGATCATAGCGGTTTGCCAGGTTGCTTCACACAACGCGAGGTTTGTGAGATCTCCCGTGTGCACCTCTGGACGCACAAATGGTCCCAGTGCTATTAATGATGACCTCAAGGCACTGAATCTCTCCATGCTAAGCATTCCCGTCATCGTAGACCATCCCGATATCTCACGGGCGCTGGATATGAGAAACTGCGCAATATTGACAGCGCCGTATGGATCAAACGATGGCAAATCTTGGAGATCCGGGTCCGCTGATAAGAATCGGCGAACGGCATCGGCGTATTGTACTGAAGGCCCGGGATTCCTTGAGACAAGTTGTCTGTGAGCCCACTCCGCTGACGAGGTTGATTTCCATTGGTCTTCAGGACAGGGCAAGTCGTGTTTAATTTCGAGGTGTGATATAGATCGGGGAATAGATAGGAATTGATACCAAAGGGCGTCGACTTGGTGTACGGCAAAAAGTGTTCGTTTAAGTGATTCGGCTCTTGCGAATTCGCGCCACAGTGATTCGAGATCTGTGGCTACTGAGGGCTCGACTGCATTCGGCTGCATAAGTCCCGTCGCTCGGGCGAGGGAAATCATACTGGAGTGCATCTTCAGGCCGTGCGCTGAGTCCTTTCCGCAAAGGAACATCATGGCGCAGATTTGGAGGAGTAGGTATGATTGGACCATGGCAACATCTTGCGGTGGCAAATCGGATCTTGCATCGCCGGAGAGTGCGAGAAAACGGGCGCGGTGGAAGCAATGTACAGATAAAGTAGCGCCTGACCCTATTTGATTCCCACATTCTGGGTCTTCTCCGTTCTGAAACGAGAGGGAAAGCATGCTTAGGATTAAGATGGGGGCGGTTTGTGAAGAATCGAAGGTCGGCTGGTGAAGAAAAGGTACATATGGAGA